CATCACGTTGCGTAGCAGAGGAATCGGATAAGAGAAAGCCCCGTTTAAGGTCTCTTTTTCGAATTAGAGTCTCCATACTGCTTCACAGGCAGCATTTATCTAATGCATTTGTTGGTAGAATCAGCTTGCATATTCACTTAACGGATGCACTTGCATCTTTTTCTCACGTAAAGGTCATTTTCCATGGCTACCTTCACTGACAATTTACCCTGTAGGTCCCTCACGTACGCCCTCATACCGATTAGTTTGAAAGGAGCGACATGGCTGTGAAGAACTCCTTTTTGACAAAGAGGGCTATCACTCAGAAGAGTCACGAACCGATAACAGAGTGGCGGCTGCCAATATATCCGAGCGAATGGAAATGCACTTTTCTGACTCTTTCAAACTCGTCTATATCCTCATCCTTCTCCTCCGCTAACTCATCCACCTCATTCGCCTTATCCTTTGCATCCTCCTTCACTCCTACTTACATCATCCCCCATCCACCATTCACATTGCCATTGTTGCTATCTTTCTATTTGTAGCTCTCAGTACTAAGCATGCAGCATTCATCGTAGCAGCAAGTACGCGTTGTATACACTCGATGATGCCCTCGAACGTAGCAGAACCACCTGGAAGAACCACATTGAAATAGGGGTCTTTTAAATGCAAAACATCAGTTTTCATGTTGGGTACGCTAAATTGACTCGTGGATATCAGCAGCTTTTCTGCCCAGACAAACAGGTTGGTAAGGGCATGAGGACAGCGGAAGCAATCCTTCTCAGTGGTAATCATTCGACCGGCTGGCTGTTTGCAAAGGCAATCTAAAATAGCACTAGGAGTTGGCGTCACCATTTCTTACTCAAAATCCACAAGCAAGCGTCAAATTTTCTGCCAGACATGGTGAGCTGCTTCACGTTCTGATGCAGTGGTAGAGTTGTGACCACACATATGGGAAGGAGGGTAAGCGAAAACAATAAATGGGGGTGCATTTAATTTAATTGCGCAGTCTTAAGTACTGCATCAAGGGGGATCATTTGCATTAACTGCCTCTCTATTCTCCTCCATGCTTCACTGTAAATTCACCAGCTTCGCAAACCAATGCAATAATAGGGGGCCGATTAATTTCTGTCATCTTGCGCGGTGCTCCAGTTCTATTGCCTGCGGATGGCTGCCCCTGCTAGGCGGGTAATTTTAAAAGCAAAACTACTTGTCAGATGATACTACACATATTCGGAATGTCCTTCACAATGTGATGTTAAGTGTAAATTCGATCATAAAGCTTCAGTCTTTTTCGAAACATAGGCACGCATTCGTGGTAGACGGAGGCGGCTCTTCACACAAGCTGGAATGCGTTTCAACCACCCTCGCCCTCTTCTTCTCTCCACCTTCGTCTTTCTTTCCTCCGCCTACACCTCCACCTTCGCCCTTGCCTCGAACTCCACCTCTACCTCTTTCTCTACATCCACATTCACCAAGCCATTTCCATTATTCTTCTCGTTCTCACCTCCATTCTTCTTTCCCTCTAACTCAACCACCTGCGTCTCCTCCTCCTCCACTTCCTCCTTCATCTTCTCCTCCTGCATATTTCCATCCCGGTTCTTGTTTGTCTCCACCTTCACGGTCCCACTCTTACTCCCACTCACATTCACTGTCGTCACTGTCGTCTTTTTATCAAACTCCTTATGTGAAGGATGCTGGCAACTAACGAGTATCGATTGTGTTATTTGCCATTTTTTTTCACCTTGACAGTCTGCATATAAGGAATGTGGTGCTTCCACCGTTTAAAAGTCGTGTTTTGCATTTGACGAATATGTTTGTGTTGAACGTGGGTAATCACCGAATGTGATCAGTTGCCATGAATTTTCACTAATCGCATTCGACACTCCTCTGTTAGAAGTGGAATCTGTTGGCAGCTTTGCCAAGCTTGTCGAAGGAGTCTGTTATAACCTGCAGTCTTCGTTACTTGGATTTGCCAGAGAACAGGATCTTCTAACTTTTAAAAAACCTTTGGAAGTGAGGACGTGAAACGTGTGTCTATATCGAGCAATTGCTGTTATGTTATGTTGGATAGTACTGATACGTAGATATGGTTTTGAGTGATAGGGGATGCGTAATCGACTTCCTTACTAGTATATGTGCACGACCACTTACGAATGCTTGATACGGCATCACTTCACTCGTCGTTTGTATAGGCAACACGTGGGGTATATTGATGACAATTTATCATTAGGGATGGAGAGGTAATTTGTGAAAAATAAAAGAGGCTGTGGAACGAGCCCAATAACCTTCATTTTGGTGCTCATTGGATCTTTAGCTAAGGCTTCCTCTACCAAGAATATTATGCGGTAAGTCGCCGAGATTGCACTTGCAGCTGTTTGAGACTCGGCCTGCTATCCTTTTCTACTCCCAGACAAGTAATCATAGCCATTCTAGCAGGCTTACAGTAAATTTAAAATGACAGCATTACTGTTCAATGCTTTATTTTTAGATCCATTTTCTTCCCGTGCGCTCTGTTGGTTTTCGCTGCTTGCTCAATGCAGTTCGTCTATGTCCGCTTATCGCCTTGCATAGCTGGATGGGAAATTCTGCAGATAATATAACTCGAATGTGAGATTGAGGGAGGCAACTCTCTAGCCGTCATCATAGCCAGTCCACTCGTCATTATGCAGTTCTACTTACAACTTGCAAAAGTAGTAATTATTCGTCAGGGTGAATATTGGCCCTTGGAAAATATTTCGAGCAGTATATGTGTTAAAGGATAGCATTCGAACTACAGTTTTTTTGAATTCCTCCTAGCCTAGCGTAGCGCTATCGACAGAGGATGAAATTAATGGGGGTATTAAGGGTGCTAAAGTGCTTACAGTTCTCCACGACTCTTGTCCAATCAGGAAAGTAAACGGTCTTCTATGTTTTTGTTGTGTATTAGGCTGGGGCGTGATTATTCATATGGTTAAAGTGGGTCCTTCACGATTTTATTCCTCATCCATGCCATTCGATTTTCGGTCCGGTAGTAAGGGCAGTGCCGTGGTGGGTCTCGCCGCGGACCTCGAGGCCCGTACCAACGCTCAGGGTCGTGCGCTCTCTGCCGTCCTTATCGTGGTCGATCTCTTACTCGGCCGTGACTCTCATTACAGCTTAGTTTTCGCTCACTTTCGTTCTTCCCCTATCAAAAGTCGATGGCAGATATTTTGCTTAGAATATTATTATTAATGCATTTAGTTGATTAGTTTATCCGACTTTGTATCAAGCATAAATAGGTATAATTGTGTAGCGACAGCTCTTCTGTCGTAACAATCATTCTCGAAATAGAAATATGAAGGACTCTATCTCCAGTAATGAGCCGCGCCGGTGCGGGGTTCGCCGTGCCTGGGACCGCATAATCACCGAGCGTTCAGTCTGTCCTGATGCTGGCATGCAGTAACTTCACAACCTCTTTCTCGAGATAACTG